TCTTCTTCTTCTTCTTCTTCTTCTTCTTCTTCTTCTTCTTCTTCTTCTTCTTCTTCTTCTTCTTCTTCTTCTTCTTCTTCTTCTTCTTCTTCTTCTTCTTCTTCTTCTTCTTCTTCTTTCTTCTTCTTCTTCTTCTCTTCTTCTTCTTCTTCTTCTTCTTCTTCTTCTTCTTCTTTCTTCTTCTTCTTCTTCTTCTTCTTCTTCTTCTTCTTCTTCTTCTTCTTCTTCTTCTTCTTCTTCTTCTTCTTCTTCTTCTTCTTCTTCTTCTTCTTCTTCTTCTTCTTCTTCTTCTTCTTCTTCTTCTTCTTCTTCTTCTTCTTCTTCTTCTTCTTCTTCTTCTTCTTCTTCTTCTTCTTCTTCTTCTTCTTCTTCTTCTTCTTCTTTCTTCTTCTTCTTCTTCTTCTTCTTCTCTTCTTCTTCTTCTTCTTCTTCTTCTTCTTCTTCTTCTTCTTCTTCTTCTTCTGTCTTCTTCTTCTTCTTCTTCTTCTCTTCTTCTTCTTCTTCTTCTTCTTCTTCTTCTTCTTCTCTTCTTCTTCTTCTTCTTCTTCTTCTTCTTCTTCTTCTTCTTCTTCTTCTTCTTCTTTCTTCTTCTTCTTTCTTCTTCTTCTTCTTCTTCTTCTTTCTTCTTCTCTTCTTCTTCTTCTTCTTCTTCTTCTTCTTCTTCTTCTTCTTCTTCTTCTTCTTCTTCTTCTTCTTCTTCTTCTGTCTTCTTCTTCTTTCTCTTCTTCTTCTTCTTCTTCTTCTTCTTCTTCTTCTTCTTCTTCTTCTTCTTCTTCTTCTTCTTCTTCTTCTTCTTCTTCTTTCTCTTCTTCTTCTTCTTCTTCTTCTTCTTCTTCTTCTTCTTCTTCTTTTCTTCTTCTTCTTCTTCTTCTTCTTCTTCTCTTCTTCTTCTTCTTCTTCTTCTTCTTCTTCTTCTTCTTCTTCCTTCTTCTTCTTCTCTTCTTCTTCTTCTTCTTCTTCTTCTTTTCTTCCTTCTTCTTCTTCTTCTTCTTCTTCTTCTTCTTCTTCTTCTTCTTCTTCTTCTTCTTCTTCTTCTTCTTCTTCTTCTTCTTCTTCTTCTTCTTCTTCTTCTTCTTCTTCTTCTTCTCTTCTTCTTCTTCTTCTTCTTCTTCTTCTTCTTCTTCTTCTTCTTCTTCTTCTTCTTCTTCTTCTTCTTCTTCTTCTTCTTCTTCTTCTTCTTCTTCTTCTTCTTCTTCTTCTTCTTCTTCTTCTTCTTCTTCTTCTTCTTCTTCTTCTTCTTCTTCTTCTTCTTCTTCTTCTTCTTCTTCTTCTTCTTCTTCTTCTTCTTCTTCTTCTTCTTCTTCTTCTTCTTCTTCTTCTTCTTCTTCTTCTTCTTCTTCTTCTTCTTCTTCTTCTTCTTCTTCTTCTTCTTCTTCTTCTTCTTCTTCTTCTTCTTCTTCTTCTTCTTCTTCTTCTTCTTCTTCTTCTTCTTCTTCTTCTTCTTCTTCTTCTTCTTCTTCTTCTTCTTCTTCTTCTTCTTCTTCTTCTTCTTCATTCTTCTTCTTCTTCTTCTTCTCTTCTTCTTCTTCTTCTTCTTCTTCTTCTTCTTCTTCTTCTTCTTCTTCTTCTTCTTCTTCTTCTTCTTCTTCTTCTTCTTCTTCTTCTTCTTCTTCTTCTTCTTCTTCTTCTTCTTCTTCTTCTTCTTCTTCTTCTTCTTCTTCTTCTTCTTCTTCTTCTTCTTCTTCTTCTTCTTCTTCTTCTTCTTCTTCTTCTTCTTCTTCTTCTTCTTCTTCTTCTTCTTCTTCTTCTTCTTCTTCTTCTTCTTCTTCTTCTTCTTCTTCTTCTTCTTCTTCTTCTTCTTCTTCTTCTTCTTCTTCTTCTCTTCTTCTTCTTCTTCTTCTTCTTCTTCTTCTTCTTCTTCTTCTTCTTCTTCTTCTTCTTCTTCTTCTTCTTCTTCTTCTTCTTCTTCTTCTTCTTCTTCTTCTTCTTCTTCTTCTTCTTCTTCTTCTTCTTCTTCTTCTTCTTCTTCTTCTTCTTCTTCTTCTTCTTCTTCTTCTTCTTCTTCTTCTTCTTCTTCTTCTTCTTCTTCTTCTTCTTCTTCTTCTTCTTCTTCTTCTTCTTCTTCTTCTTCTTCTTCTTCTTCTTATTCTTCTTCTTCTTCTTCTTCTTCTTCTTCTTCTTCTTCTTCTTCTTCTTCTTCTTCTTCTTCTTCTTCTTCTTCTTCTTCTTCTTCTTCTTCTTCTTCTTCTTCTTCTTCTTCTTCTTCTTCTTCTTCTTCTTCTTCTTCTTCTTCTTCTTCTTCTTCTTCTTCTTCTTCTTCTTCTTCTTCTTCTTCTTCTTCTTCTTCTTCTTCTTCTTCTTCTTCTTCTTCTTCTCTTCTTCTTCTTCTTCTTCTTCTTCTTCTTCTTCTTCTTCTTCTTCTTCTTCTTCTTCTTCTTCTTCTTCTTCTTCTTCTTCTTCTTCTTCTTCTTCTTCTTCTTCTTCTTCTTCTTCTTCTTCTTCTTCTTCTTCTTCTTCTTCTTCTTCTTCTTCTTCTTCTTCTTCTTCTTCTTCTTCTTCTTCTTCTTCTTCTTCTTCTTCTTCTTCTTCTTCTTCTTCTTCTTCTTCTTCTTCTTCTTCTTCTTCTTCTTCTTCTTCTTCTTCTTCTTCTTCTTCTTCTTCTTCTTCTTCTCTTCTTCTTCTTCTTCTTCTTCTTCTTCTTTCTTCTTCTTCTTCTTCTTCTTCTTCTTCTTCTTCTTCTTCTTCTTCTTCTTCTTCTTCTTCTTCTTCTTCTTCTTCTTCTTCTTCTTCTTCTTCTTTCTCTTCTTCTTCTTCTTCTTCTTCTTCTTCTTCTTCTTCTTTCTTCTTCTTCTTCTTCTTCTTCTTCTTCTTCTTCTTCTTCTCTTCTTCTTCTTTCTTCTTCTTTCTTCTTCTTCTTCTTCTTCTTCTTCTTCTTCTTCTTCTTCTTCTTCTTCTTCTTCTTCTTCTTCTTCTTCTTCTTCTTCTTCTTCTTCTTCTTCTTCTTCTTCTTCTTCTTCTTCTCTTCTTCTTCTTCTTCTTCTTCTTCTTCTTCTTCTTCTTCTTCTTCTTCTTCTTCTTCTTCTTCTTCTTCTTTCTTCTTCTCTTCTTCTTCTTCTTCTTCTTCTTCTTTCTTCTTCTTCTTCTTCTTCTTCTTCTTCTTCTTCTTCTTCTTCTTCTTCTTCTTCTTCTTCTTCTTCTTCTTCTTCTTCTTCTTCTTCTTCTTCTTCTTCTTCTTCTTCTTCTTCTTCTTCTTCTTCTTCTTCTTCTTCTTCTTCTTCTTCTTCTTCTTCTTCTTCTTCTTCTTCTTCTTCTTCTTCTTCTTCTTCTTCTTCTTCTTCTTCTTCTTCTTCTTCTTCTTCTTCTTCTTCTTCTTCTTCTTCTTCTTCTTCTTCTTCTTCTTCTTCTTCTTCTTCTTCTTCTTCTTCTTCTTCTTCTTCTTCTTCTTCTTCTTCTTCTTCTTCTTCTTCTTCTTCTTCTTCTTCTTCTTCTTCTTTCTTCTTCTTCTTCTTCTTCTTCTTCTTCTTCTTCTTCTTCTTCTTCTTCTTCTTCTTCTTCTTCTTTTCTCTCTTCTTCTTCTTCTTCTTCTTCTTCTTCTTCTTCTTCTTCTTCTTCTTCTTCTTCTTCTTCTTCTTCTTCTTCTTCTTCTTCTTCTTCTTCTTCTTCTTCTTCTTCTTCTTCTTCTTCTTCTTCTTCTTCTTCTTCTTTCTTCTTCTTCTTCTTCTTCTTCTTCTTCTTCTTCTTCTCTTCTTCTTCTTCTTCTTCTTCTTCTTTTCTTCTTCTTCTTCTTCTTCTTCTTCTTCTTCTTCTTCTTCTTCTTCTTCTTCTTCTTCTTCTTCTTCTTCTTCTTCTTCTTCTTCTTCTTCTTCTTCTTCTTCTTCTTCTTCTTCTTCTCTTCTTCTTCTTCTTCTTCTTCTTCTTCTTCTTCTTCTTCTTCTTCTTCTTCTTCTTCTTCTTCTTCTTCTTCTTCTTCTTCTTCTTCTCTTCTTCTTCTTCTTCTTCTTCTTCTTTCTTCTCTTCTTCTTCTTCTTCTTCTTCTCTTCTTCTTCTTCTTCTTCTTCTTCTTCTTCTTCTTCTTCTTCTTCTTCTTCTTCTTCTTCTTCTTCTTCTTCTTCTTCTTCTTCTTCTTCTTCTTCTTCTTCTTCTTCTTCTTCTTCTTCTTCTTCTTCTTCTTCTTCTTCTTCTTCTTCTTCTTCTTCTTCTTCTTCTTCTTCTTCTTCTTCTTCTTCTTCTTCTTCTTCTTCTTCTTCTTCTTCTTCTTCTTCTTCTTCTTCTTCTTCTCTTCTTCTTCTTCTTCTTCTTCTTCTTCTTCTTCTTCTTCTTCTTCTTCTTCTTCTTCTTCTTCTTCTTCTTCTTCTTCTTCTTCTTCTTCTTCTTCTTCTTCTTCTTCTTCTTCTTCTCTTCTTCTTCTTCTTCTTCTTCTTCTTCTTCTTCTTCTTCTTCTTCTTCTTCTTCTTCTTCTTCTTCTTCTTCTTCTTCTTCTTCTTCTTCTTCTTCTTCTTCTTCTTCTTCTTTCTTCTTCTTCTTCTTCTTCTTCTTCTTCTTCTTCTTCTTCTTCTTCTTCTCTTCTTCTTCTTCTTCTTCTTCTTCTTCTTCTTCTTCTTCTTCTTCTTCTTCTTCTTCTTCTTCTTCTTCTTCTTCTTCTTCTTCTTCTTCTTCTTCTTCTTCTTCTTCTTCTTCTTCTTCTTCTTCTTCTCTTCTTCTTTCTTCTTCTTCTTCTTCTTCTTCTTCTTCTTCTTCTTCTTCTTCTTTCTTCTTCTTCTCTTCTTCTTCTTCTTCTTCTTCTTCTTCTTCTTCTTCTCTTCTTCTTCTTCTTCTTCTTCTTCTTCTTCTTCTTCTTCTTCTTCTTCTTCTTCTTCTTCTTCTTCTTCTTCTTCTTCTTCTTCTTCTTCTTCTTCTTCTTCTTCTTCTCTTCTTCTTCTTCTTCTTCTTCTTCTTCTTCTTCTTCTTCTTCTTCTTCTTCTTCTTCTTCTTCTTCTTCTTCTTCTTCTTCTTTCTTCTTCTTCTTCTTCTTCTTCTTCTTCTTCTTCTTCTTCTTCTTCTTCTTCTTCTTCTTTTCTTCTTCTTCTTCTTCTTCTTCTTCTTCTTCTTCTTCTCTTCTTCTTCTTCTTCTTCTTCTTCTTCTTCTTCTTCTTCTTCTTCTTCTTCTTCTTCTTCTTCTTCTTCTTCTTCTTCTTCTTCTTCTTCTTCTTCTTCTTCTTCTTCTTCTTCTTCTTCTTCTCTTCTTCTTCTTCTTCTTCTTCTTCTTCTTCTTCTTCTTCTTCTTCTTCTTCTTCTTCTTCTTCTTCTTCTTCTTCTTCTTCTTCTTCTTCTCTTCTTCTTCTTCTTCTTCTTCTTCTTCTTCTTCTTCTTCTTCTTCTTCTTCTTCTTCTTCTTCTTCTTCTTCTTCTTCTTCTTCTTCTTCTTCTTCTTCTTCTTCTTCTTCTTCTTCTTCTTCTTCTTCTTCTTCTTCTCTTCTTTCTTCTTCTTTCTTCTTCTTCTTCTTCTTCTTCTTCTTCTTCTCTTCTTCTTCTTCTTCTTCTCTTCTTCTTCTTCTTCTTCTTCTTCTTCTTCTCTTCTTCTTCTTCTTCTTCTTCTTCTTCTTCTTCTTCTTCTTCTTCTTCTTCTTCTTCTTCTTCTTCTTCTTCTTCTTCTTCTTCTTCTCTTCTTCTCTTCTTCTTCTTCTTCTTCTTCTTCTTCTTCTTCTTCTTTTCTTCTTCTTCTTCTTCTTCTTCTTCTTCTTCTCTTCTTCTTCTTCTTCTTCTTCTTCTTCTTCTTCTTCTTCTTCCTTCTTCTTCTTCTTTCTTCTTCTTCTTCTTCTTCTTTCTTCTTCTTCTTCTTCTTCTTCTTCTTCTTCTTCTTCTTCTTCTTCTTCTTCGTCTTCTTCTTCTTCTTCTTCTTCTTCTTCTTCTTTCTTCTTCTTCTTCTTCTTCTTCTTCTTCTCTTCTTCTTCTTCTTCTTCTTCTTCTTCTTCTCTTCTCTTCTTCTTCTTCTTCTTCTTCTTCTTCTCTTCTTCTTTCTTCTTCTTCTTCTTCTTCTTCTTCTTCTTCTTCTTCTTCTTCTTCTTCTTCTCTTCTTCTTCTTCTTCTTCTTCTTCTTCTTCTTCTTCTTCTTCTCTTCTTCTTCTTCTTCTTCTTCTTCTTCTTCTTCTTCTTCTTCTTCTTCTTCTTCTTCTTCTTCTTCTTCTTTCTTCTTCCTTCTTCTTCTTCTTCTTCTTCTTCTTCTTCTTCTTCTTCTTCTTCTTCTTCTTCTTCTTCTTCTTCTTCTTCTTCTCTTCTTCTTCTTCTTCTTCTTCTTCTTCTTCTTCTTCTTCTTCTTCTTCTTCTTCTTCTTCTTCTTCTTTTCTTCTTCTTCTTCTTCTTCTTCTTCTTCTTCTTCTTCTTCTTCTTCTTCTTCTTCTTCTTCTTCTTCTTCTTCTTCTTCTTCTTCTTCTTCTTCTTCTTCTTCTTCTTCTTCTTCTTCTTCTTCTTCTTCTTCTTCTTCTTCTTCTTCTTCTTCTTCTTCTTCTTCTTCTTCTTCTTCTTCTTCTTCTTCTTCTTCTTCCTTTCAGTAATACTGTGCATACGCTGCTGCACCATTGTGTCTTCCCATTGATGAGAGGGGGGGTGTAGGCAACCCCTTGTCTCACAAACATGGCAAGTGGTAGGCAAATGCTTACGCCTTGCAACTCCAATTGAGTACTCGCCCTAACATCCCGGCATTTACTCTGAATCAAATCCGTCGCCTCCCTGTTCCTCCCCAAATCTGTTTTATTTCAACTCACAGCGCTGGTGAGCAGCAAGGCGGCAGCGCAGGTGTGTCAGGAGTATTCACTGGCGGCGGTGGTGAAAGCCACCAACGGATGGTCCGAGGACAACCTACTTGGCACAGGGGCGTATGGTGATGTGTACCGCGGCGTCTCTCCCACCGATGGTGAAACGCCGTGGGCTGTGAAACGAGCCAAGATCATCACCAACGACTTTGACACCGAGGTGCGTGCGCGTGGCGTGCTGCCGAGTGGGGCTAATTTGCATTGGTTTATGCATGTACGAGGAAGAGTTAGAAAGGTTGTCATATGATTTATTAACTAAAAGCTTTTCCCCAAGGAGATTTGTCAAGAGCCAGGCATCCCAAATTCTGTACTGGGGTATGTGAGCACGCCTTTCAACTTGTAGAACATTGTTTGAGCACGCTTGACATACTTCTGACGTGCTTGACATACTTCTGACGTGCTTGACATACTTCTGACGTGCTTGACTTACTTCTGACGTGCTTGACATACTTCTGACGTGCTTGACTTACTTCTGACGTGCTTGACATACTTCTGACGTGCTTGACTTACTTCTGACGTGCTTGACATACTTCTGACGTGCTTGACATACTTCTGACGTGCTTGACATACTTCTGACGTGCTTGACATACTTCTGACGTGCTTGACATACTTCTGACGTGCTTGACTTACTTCTGACGTGCTTGACATACTTCTGACGTGCTTGACTTACTTCTGACGTGCTTGACATACTTCTGACGTGCTTGACATACTTCTGACGTGCTTGACTTACTTCTGACGTGCTTGACATACTTCTGACGTGCTTGACTTACTTCTGACGTGCTTGACATACTTCTGACGTGCTTGACTTACTTCTGACGTGCTTGACATACTTCTGACGTGCTTGACATTACTTCTGACGTGCTTGACTTACTTCTGACGTGCTTGACTTACTTCTGACGTGCTTGACATACTTCTGACGTGCTTGACATACTTCTGACGTGCTTGACATACTTCTGACGTGCTTGACATACTTCTGACGTGCTTGACATACTTCTAACGTGCTTGAGCACAGGCGTGTGAGATGGTCGCGAAGCAGTGTCAGTTGTATAAATGAATGAATTGTGTTTCATTGGCCCCACCGCCATGCCTGGCAGGTGTGTGAGATGGCCACAAAGCACCACCCCAACCTGGTGCGACTGCTGGGCTTTGCCATTGGGATTACCGATAAGACAAGGGTCGAGCAAATTCTTATATACGAGCTCATGCCCAACAAGGACCTCTCGTGCTGGATCGGAAAAGGTATGATCTTTTTATGGGTCGGTCCCCTTACACGGGCTGGTCTTACAAACAATCCAGGACTTGGTAAGCTTGCACAACAAGGTATTGAGGTCCGCGAAAGAATGTGTAAACAAACTATGCTTTGCGTGTTTGTGTTTGTGTGTGTGCGCATGCTCTTTGGCGCACGTGCGTTCGTGTGTGGGTGTGGGTGTGGGTGTGTCCATGCATACATGAGCGTATGTGTATATGCAAGTTCCGTGCAAGTAGCAAAGGTACGAGCCGAACTACGGTGATATCGATCATAGTCCAAGACGTTCGCTTTTGAGAATTCTCAAAGATCATAGTCCAAAACGTTCGCAATCATATGGGGCCTGCTCTGCACTGGCATGCATAACGACCCTACGTCTAATTCTTCTGCAATCATCTCCGCCTCTCCACTTCACAGCTTCCTCTGTTTTCTCCACTCCACTCTCCCACCATCCTACGCACTGGCCCCTGCAGAGGCAGCGACCCCGCTGAGCTTTGAGCAGCGGGTGGGCGTGCTGGTGGGGGCGGCACGCGGCTTTGAGTATCTCCACAGCTTCGGCATCGTGCACCGCGACATCAAGCCCGCAAACATCCTGCTGGATGAGCACATGCAGGTGAGTGGGGCTCGACCAAACCATGCAGGCAAGTGCGCATGATGACCACATGCAGGCAAGTCCGGCTACATCGCTACCACTCTCATAGCAGCCAATCTTGTGCCACATACTCTCCTATGAACAGGCTTACACACATGGTCCTGTGAGTCTGTTCTACTTAATGTTTGAGTGCAGGCTAAGATCTCAGACTTTGGGCTTGTGAGGAAGGGAGAGGGCACGGCACTGCAGAGCACACGAGTGGTGGGAACACCGGGCTATGTGGACCCATTGTATTCTTCATCCAAAAAGGCCACCACAGCCACGGATGTGTACAGGTGAGCACGACCTTGGGAGACGAGTGTATTCCATTCCTTGGTTTCTTCCAGAATTTGGGTGCATCACATAATTTCCCCTCCTCTCCTATCCTCTCCTCTCCTTTGGGTGTCGTGGTGTGCAGCTTTGGCATTCTCATGCTTGAGCTCATGACAGGCCGCAACGTCACCACCAATTCGCTCGTCATTCCCTCCGAGAAAGAAGCGGATCAGCAACTGCACCTTTTAGAATGGGTGCGTCCACATTCCACAGGAGGACAATGCTGTCGTTGACACGTTTCCACTCTCCATTCGCCGGCATCACAATATCTCCCCATTATCCACCACCATTTTCCATGTCTCATCCCCGATCCTGTTTGTTCCACAACAGGTCCAGCAGCAGCTGGCTCAATCTGGCAGCAACAACAGGATGGGAGCAGGCCTTAAGGACCCACGCATGGAGGCGAGGGATGAGTTGGTGTTGAGGGTGGTGCAGCTGGCACTGCGATGCACCGACAAGCAGAGCGCCACGCGGCCGGCCATGGGGGTGATTGCAGCCGAGCTGGAGGCCGTGCTGGTGGCGCTGGGCGGCGCACGCAGCAACTCTGCCGCCCGGCAGGTGGATCTAGAGGTGGAGTCGCAGAGGGAGCCAGCCAGAGATTTGGATGCAGATTTTGCTCTTCTTGATTCATTGCTGAAAGGGAACTGACAGCATGCCGCTGCAGCATAGCACGCCGCTGACTGCTTCACAAATTTTAGCGCATTCAACCTGGAGTTGACATTGAAATCAGACTTAGCACACGAAGTACGGTGAAGGTAGGGTATCTTTCTTATTGCACGCGCTTGGTCTCGTCTCGTTGTTCTACCTACCAGTACGTGCTTCCCACAATTAAGATCGTTACACTAGTATCGTACGAGAAACATGCTTACCATATCCAATAGAATCCGATCCCCATCCTCCTCCCCCATCCTGCACCTGCAACCCAAAAGTGCAGTATCATGGTTGTGGTACCATACAGCATATTTGAGATCAGCTACGCAGTTCACGGATGTGTTTCTTACGTAACAAGGAAGCACGCATGTATCAACTAGACTAGAGCGACCAAACACAAGCCATAATTCTACCATGAAAAGCCAACCAGCTGCCGTAGTAATCACAGAGGCAGAGGCACATCGTGCACCTCACACTTCAAATGAGAGAATCAAGATGAGCAAGCTCATGGTATGCTAGCACCAACAGATGGTGCGACAGCTGTACAGCCTCCCTCCTCTCACTCACACTCGGGCTCTCCTCCATTAACTCGTCCACAAAACCCTCCCTCCCATACTCCTCCATTCCCCCTAGCCCCTTATCACCCCAGCCATCCCTTCCCATGCCCATGCCCATGCCCATGCCAATTCCCATTCCCATCGCCCAGCCAGACTCTGGGCAGGCTTGTGGCCCTGAGCCCCTGAACGGAGTCTGCTGCAGGTGCGTGCGAGTGGGGTTGGGGATTGAGACGAGGGAGACCGCGGGGCCTTGATGAGAGGCACGATGAGCAGTTTGGAAAGCGAGGGGTGCAAGGGGTGCGAGTGGGGGTGGGCATGCAAGTGTAAAGGCGAGGTCATGCAGAAGGCGCAACAAGGAGTTGACCTGCTGGCGCAGAAGCGAGGTTGGTTGCGGAGGGGAGGACAGAGAAGGGAGAGTGTGGGAACCGGTGGCGGTGTGGCAGTGTGGATGGGAGGTCAGAGGTGCATGGTGAGGGTGGGAGGAGGAAGGATCAGTGGGCTGCGGCATCTGCACGGCTGGACCAGGGCGAACGTCTTCTCCTAAAGCACATCCCAGTTCCGTGCCCTCTTGGCTGCTCCTCCTGCTGCACTGGCTAGTGTGCTGAATCAGTCTGGCATGGAGGAATGAGAGAGGTAGACTCCTCTCGCCCCCTCCTCCAGTCCAGGTACCACCACCATCTGCCTCAGGAGTGCTCTCTCCTATGCCACTTCCCCCCTGTCCATCCAGAAACCGCACCCTTTTCTGTTGCCCTGCTGCCCCTGCTGCCCCTGCTGCCCCTGCTGCCCCTGCTGCCCCTGCTGCCCCCGCTGCCCCTGCTGCCCCTGCTGCCCCCGCTGCCCTTCCGCATCCCCCAACACCCACGCCCAAACCACTTCCACTACGCAGCAGATAGCCTCTACAGAGGGTATCATATGTTGGTGAAGGAGTTGCAGGGGTGCAAGGGTTATATCCAGCCCTAGTTCCGTCCCCACTTCTTTCCAACTTCCCATCACTAGCACTGGGTGCACAGGCAGTGGTGCGAGCAGTAGCAGCGGTACCACTAGGAGCACCAGCATTAGCAGCAGCTGATGTCCTGGTGACAGTCCCTAGGTCCTCCTGCAGTTGCCGCGCCACGTCACTCATCTCCAGCCTCCTCTGCGCCTCCACACGCGGTGCTCTCTGCCTCACTACAAGACGAGAAATGCCACCCACCACCAGCTTCGCTAAGGCACTGATAGAGATGCATTCACTGCCTGCTTGCCATCCAGCCTGTGTACTTGGCAGCTGCTTCTCCGGATCAGTACTTACCCGTGTTTGCTCATCAATCTCACCGACACGGTTATCACCACCAACACTGAAACCACCACCAGCACCATTACCATCACCAACCCTCTTGCTAGCAGCACGATGACAATCGAGATCACCAAAACAACCATCTCCACCCTCTTCTCCCCTGCTTCCTCGTTTCCCCGTGCACTTCTCTGCCTCACAACAGTCCCCACTTCCAAGCACTTCAAGTGACATCCGCAGCATATTCACGTGCAAGGTTCCGAACCCAAAGGCCCCTCCCCCTCCTCCTCCACCTTCCCAATTCCAACCCGAACTTGCTAGCGAGGTCCGAGCAGTGCGCATGGCTGCATAGGCTCGGCCGGAGGGTCGGTAGGAGCAGGAAGGGGAGCAAGCGGGAAGGGTCGGGGAGGAGAGGAGTGAGGAGGAGGAGGAAGAAGAGAGCTCTAGGGCAAGAGTGGAGGAGCATTGCTGCTGCAGCAGGGCTGCTCGCATGTGGATGAGACGCAGGCGTGGAGAGTGGGGTTCCATGTCGTGCGTGCTGGTGGTTGTAGCAGGTGTGGGTGCAGGTATGCCGTTGGGATGGTTAGTGCTGCTGGGTGCACGGACTCCACTCCGATTCTTTACTTCATTCTTCTCGCCACCCTGATTGATCCTCTCCCTGCCTCTGCTGCTACCGTTAGCACCAGTAGCACCAGTAGCAGCAGCAGGAGCAGCAGCAGCAGCACCACCACCACCACCAGTACCATCACAATCAGCAAGAACAGCAGTCATTCCTGTCGTGACTGCACCTGTCACTCGCTCATGGTTAGTGCCCGCAGTGCGAGCAGCAGCAGCAGCAGCAGCAGCAGCAGCAGCAGCAGCAGCAGCATGATCCACTGCCGCAGCAGCACCTTTCCCACGTCGCATATTACTAGCCTCTGCCTCTGGCTCTGCCACCTGCCTAGATTTGTCTTGCTTGCCTTTCTCCTTGGCCTTCCGCTTTCTGTCACCTGCACCCACACTGCCTCTCGCCCCTTGCCCCTTCCCTCTCTCCACTGACAAATGCGTCTTTCCACCTGCCCCTCTTTCTCCTGCTCTCTCTGCGATCTCTGCTGTCTCCGATACTGCTGCTGGCATAACAGCTTCTGCTGCTGCCTTGTCTCCGCCTCCGCCTCTCCTTCCTGCTGCTGCTGGGGACAGAGAGCAAGCAGCCTGGTTCTGCCCGGGCTGAGAGCCCCTAATCGTCCCAGCAGCACCACCGCGAGGGTTTACGGCACGGGCAGGAGGCAGAGGAGAAAATTCACGGGCAGGGGAGGGAAGAGACGAGTGCGGCCGCACGGGCTGTGTGTAGGGAGGCTGAGGGGAGGAGGGCGTGGATGGATGGAGGGCTCTGGAGGGCCGTGTGGGAGGGGTGGCTAGGGTGGCAGCAGCAGCAGGGGAGGCAGGGAGAGGGAGTGAGGGAGTGCGAGGAGGAGGCATGGTGTTGGAAGGAGGGGATAGAGATGGGTGCGTTGCCTTGCTGGTTGATGCACGGGTGGGTGTGAGGGACTGGCGGGCAGGGCGTGTGGCTGTGTTTGTGGTGCCCTTGGGTTCCTAGTGGGTTTTGTGAGGGGGTATGGTGAACAGAGTGAGGGGAGTAGAGAGGAAAGAAGAGAGGAGACGGAGAGTGAGGATGAACAGAGAGTAAGAGTGCTTGGGGTGACGAAGGAAACTATTGGTTGAAGTATGACAGGGAGGGGACAGGAGAGGAGAGGAGAGGATAGGAGAGGAGAGAAGAGGAGAGAAGAGGAGAGGAGATGTTGGAGGTGGTGGAAGAGGCGAGCATGCCGAAACAAACAACATCCTTGTCATGTATCCGTTGCTTGCCTCACCTGTGTGCCGAAGCACACTCTCTTGGCCGCCCGTTCACATGTCTTCAACTGCCTCCCTGCACCCATGGCCGACCGCCTTACAGCAACAGCAGCACAACCGCCATCTGCATCACCATTACTATGACCAGCACCAGAAGCAGCAACACCACCAGGAGCAGCAGAAGAACCAGCAGCAGCACCAGCAGCAGCAGCAGTGGGGGTCCTATCAGCTCCTTGTGTCACTGCTCGTGCCCCATCGTCAGCCCCCTGCCTCCCCTCCCCTTCGCCCCCTTCCCCTCCTGCGCCACTCCCCTCGCGCCCCTCCAGTCCATCCCCTCCTCCTGTCCGGACACACTCTCGTCCCCCTCTCCCCGCTCCTCTTCGCTCACTTGATAGACCCTGCCCTTCCACTCTCACATCCCTCTCCCCACCTTTCTCCCCTGCTCCACTCTTTGCCCCACCTTTCCTCACTCCACCATCCTTTTCCGCGTGCGGATTACCCTGGCGGCCCTTCCACCGCTCTCCACTCCCCAGTAATCTAGTTCTCGCCACCCCTGCTGTCTCCGCACCCCCCACCTGCCAGCCGCTGTGGTGTCTGTCGTTGCCACGTGTGGGAGGAGGGACGTTGGAGCGCGAAGGAGCATTAAAGTGCTGAAGAGCGTTGGAGTGATGCATGCCCTCATGAAGCTGGCACAGGGAAAAGCAGCAGAGGAAGGCAGGTAGGTTAGTGCTGCTGCTGCTGCTGCTGCTGCTGCATGACTCATCAAGCAGCAGCAAAGATGGGCCCAGCACACCCCCCCAGCAAACAGCGCAGCCAAGGAGCCCTAAGGAGTGTGGGCTGAACTGAGCGGCAACACAGACAAGACAACGCCTTGCACACAGGACCTCATGACTGAGCAACACACACACACACACACACACACACACACACACACACACACACACACACACACACACACACACACACACACACACGCAGCACAAAATCGCAAGGAACATCACCACCATGAGAGTTTGCATTGCAACAGAAAAGCAAAGAGAAGGGAGAGGGGGGGGGGGGGGTTTGCATGAGAGTCTGCATTGCAACAGAAGAGCGGGACGTTCGAACTGGGAGGGGAGAAGGGGGAGGGAGAGGAGCGGCGGACCTTTGAGGAGAGGGCACGGTAGGATGTGGTGAGGAGGAGCAGGTAGGAGCGACGACTCCAGTTGGTGGCATGCACGCGTGACAGCTGATGGTAGGCATGTGGTGGGTATAGCGTATAGGCATACACACGGAGGTGTATGGATACGGAAATGGAAGGAAACGGAAGGAAGGAGAAGCAGATGTGCTTGGATACACACACAAGCATCTAGGATCCAAAAAGGGAAAAAGTGTGTGAGACAAACTGTTGATCAAAGAGGACACAGCACCACACAGTACCACCCAGTACCACGGCAAGGGGAAGCTCTTGCGCCGGCCAAACCCCAAGGAGATCGCGCCAGCTGTCCCACGGTGATTGGTGCTCTCCCACCCAGGCGCTGCTCGATGCTCCCACAGGCCACACATGTGCACGCAGTGCTGCCACAGCTGCTGCTGCAGCAGCATGTGAAGGAGCAGCAGCGGCAGTGCAAGCAGGGGCAGCAGAGGCAGTGCAATCACCACCATTATTCACATTGCTGGCATCAATGATACTCTTCGATCCAGCAGCGCCAGCAGGAGCAGCAGCAGCAGCAGCAGAAGCAGTAGCGGCGGCGGCAGATGGGCTTGTGGGGTGCCAGAAGGGGTGCAGCAGAGCAATGCCGCAGCGACCACAGCTCATGCCCGCTGTTACCATGCCTTGCTCTGCTGCTCCTTCTCCCTCTCCTCCCTCTCCTCCCTCTCCTCCCTCTCCTCCCTCTCCTCCCTCTCCTCCCTCTCCTCCCTCTCCTCCCTCTCCTCCCTCTCCTCCCTCGCATCTCTCAACCCCATCTCTCCACCAATCACCACGCTGCTTCGTGCTGCCCCTCACTGTGCGGGGAGAACTGACGGGCGACAGGGGCAGCGGAAGTGGCGAGCAACCTATCCCGCCACCCCCCACATCTTCACCACTCACCACCGCCTCTGCCGGGGTTGCCGCCGCAGTTGCCGCTACCGCTGCTGCTCCTGTTGCTCCTGATTCGTTTGCTGCCTCGGTCACGCCCGGCCCTCCTACCCCTCGGCATTCACCAACGCTACCTCCGCCTCCCCCCCTGTTTCCGCCAATACCTTTCTGCGCCGCCCCATTGCCGCAAGCCGCTCCCTTCCCCGCCTTTTCCCCGCAGGCGCGCAGGCGGGGAGGGGTTGCGCGGTACGCAGCGGGGGAAGCGGACGGCAGAGGGGGGGGAACAAGGAGCGCGGCGCAGCAGAGGCAAGGGACGAGGATGGAGGCGCAATTCGGGCAAAAAAGACTGCAGGCGGCGGAAACGGCGGAAGAAGAGTCCCGCGCTACAGGGGCAGGCTGCGCGCATTGGGGCAAACCTTCCCCATGCGCCCCCGCTAAAGACAAACCAGGTTCGGAACCAGCCCTAAGATTCGACGACGGGGAAGCTGTGATATTTTCGTAATTGAAACGCGAGGGCGACTCGAGACGCGCATCGGACGAGTCGAGGTGGGCCGTCGGATCGCGAGGCCAAATCGACGGCGGGGGCGGAAGGGGGGTAACGTCTGCTTGCGCGTGCGGGCAGAATCGTGCAATAGGCGGATCGCGGCAGGAGGACGGCGTGACGGCTGTGCCGCGGAAAGCCATGACCTCTGGTGGGTGAGTGAGCTCAGCTGAGGGTATGGAGAAAGAGGAGAATCGTCACGAAAACGCTTCGGCCAAAACGGTTGGGGCTGTGGATGGGGGAAGTTGGTCGAAGAGCCGTCCTTGTTATTGACAGAATTGATTGCTGAGGCTGGGTTCACAAGCGTCAACAAGGAAAGACTAATTACCTTAACATTACTTCACATTCAACTCCACATTACACATTCCAGAACATGGCATCTTAGTGTTTTGAATGCATACGACTCATTATCACAACTAATATCCACCTAAATTTTAACTGTGTGATGCCAATGCCAGCTTTTATGTGGGCTAACACCCACTCGGTTTACCCCCATCCCACGATATAGTTCATGTGCATACGGTAGCTTTCAAGTTGACAGCTGTTGGGCTGAGATAGCCCCTTAGGATCTTTGCAAAGGATAACTCTAGGTGAAGTAGTTGTAATAGCGGAAGCGTTTAATGAAGAACTTGAACCGACCTTGCACTGGTGTATAAGAGCAAAGTTGATTGATAATAACAAGCAAATACAAGATTTTATATAAGAGTACAGGGAATACGAATAGATAGATAACTGTATTGCTGTTGCGATTCGATACAGTGCGACTCGGGCAACTGCTCTGTAACGAGTCAGTTGTGTGTCCTTAACTGTCGCGCTGTAATTGTCGAGTCAAAGGTCGCTGACCTTTGACTTTCCCGTAACCTCTAGGCGGTTACCCTAACCTCCGAGGTTTGACTCGATGCTTCGATTCGGACTGCTTCGCTAGCATCTTGGGTTTTGACACGACAGAGGCGCACTAAGACTTATTGTTTCCAACACTCCCCTTCGCTTCTGGAGTGTCGCTGCTGATGACGTGGCTCTGTCCAGTCAGCAGCATGCAATACTCGAATTTCTGCTTTCCGAGCTTCTTGGTCAGGTAGTCAGCTGCCATCTCGGATGTAGGACAATATGACAGCTGGAGTCTCCCCTTCTCGATCTCGTCTTTTACGAAGAAGTAACGCAAGGCGATGTGCTTCGTCCTGTTCGCAAAGCCGTTCTTGTTGGCGATGCGAATTGCTGACTGGTTGTCGCAGAACACGGTGAAGCTGGGTAACTCGGCCAACTTTGCTTCTTCCAGTAGTTCGCGGAGGTAGAGTCCTTCCTTGGTGGCTGAGCAGAGTGCAATATATTCTGCTTCAGCTGAAGATAGTGCGATTAACTCCTGCTTGCTCGACTGCCAGGAGACAGGACCGATAGGCTCGAGGCGGTAGACGTAGCTGGTGCGTGAGCGCCTGTTGTCAGTGTCGCCGGCGTGGTCGGCGTCAACGTAGCCAATTAACTTAGTCGGTGTAGCTGCGTTCTTGTGGCAGGTTAGCCCGATCGTCGCGATGCTGACAAAGTAGTGGAGAGCGCGATCGAGTTCCGCCAGGTGTTCTGCTTCAGGCTTCTTAAGATGAGTCGCGAGTTGGCTTGCGGAGTAGGATAGGTCGGGACGGCAGGTGACGGCAGCGAATAGAAGACATCCGAGCTTCTTCTGATAGTCGCGTATGCCGGCGGGCTTGAGTAGAGTAGATCGTCCCTTTTCAGTTCCTGACGTGTAGCGGTAGGGCGTGGAGATGGCGCTTGGTGTGAGACCGAAGCGTTTCGCGATGGTGTTGGCGTACTTCTCGGCGCTTAGATAGATTGCGTTTTCTTCTTCGCGGATGTTGAGCCCGAGGTACTGTGTAACGGTAGAGGAGACCGTGAGCGTGAGGTCTTTCTGAAGCTCTCCTTTGAACCACGTGGCGATGCCGTCGGTTGACCCAATGTAGAGGAGATCGTCCACGTAGACGATCAGAAGAACAAAGTCGCTTCCCTTAGTGAGGCGGTACATGCCCTGATCATGCGGGAGTTGTTTGAAACCGATGCGGATGAGACGAGCGTGCAGGTACTGTTGCCACAGTCGCGGCGCCTGTTTGATGCCGTAGAGCGATTTTAGCAGTTGACAGACTTGGTTAGGTTCACCGTGTGAAAATAGGAAAACAGGAATGAATGAACTATGAACGAAAGCAGTACAAATATGAAACCCTAACTGGGTTGTACCCCCTATGGGATACCCCACTACAGCCTACACAGCAGTATAAGCTATAGATATGTTCAGACACACCCCCATAGGCAAAGTGGGGGAGAACAAGGGGTCACAAGACCAGTCAAGCAAGACAAAGCAAAGCTCAGGGTGGATCACAAAGTCACCACACAGTCCGAGCACAAGAGCAAGGCCAAAGGCCAGTTCACAAGCAAGAGTACAGACATATATATAAAGCTAGACAAGCAAGAGCAGGTATATATATATGTCACAGTACAAGTGAAGTCAAGAGGAGAGCAAGTGAGGCAAGACAGGCACAAGACCCAGCTGGGTGCAGAAGCGCTGATGGTCACAAGGCGCAAGTGCCTTGGTGAACACATCAGCAGTGTTGGCCTCAGAGGCCACGTACGCAAGTCGCAACTGACCACGCTGCTGCAGCTCACGAGCAAGGAAGTAGCGGAGAGCAATGTGCTTCGTTCTGTGCTCCAAGCGCTGCTCTCGACACAAGGCCAGCATAGCCTTGTTGTCTACGTACAGCACTGGAGGAGAACGAGGCGGCTCTCCAAGGTCAGTCAGCAGGTAGGTGAGCCAGCGAAGCTCCTGTGCAGCCATGGCCCCGGCGTAGATCTCAGCCTCACAACTGGAGCCGAGAACCGAAGACGAGCGAGTAGACCGCCACGAGACAGAGCCGGAACCAAGGCTGAAGGTGTAACCTTGTGACGACCGCTGCGTAGCCTGGTCGTCAGCCCAAGAAGCGTCCGCGTGGCCGGTAAGGACCACTGGACTCCGCCCTCCAAGCACTAGCCCCATGCCTGACGTACTGCACAGGTAGCGCAATACCCTCTTCGCTGCAGCCATGTGCTCCGGTCTGTGTCTCCCAGGAGCAACATAGCGTGCAAGAATGCTCAGAGGGTATGCAAGGTCAGGTCGTGTGCAGGTCATCAGGTACATGAGGCAGCCAACAAGCTCCGCATACGGACCACTCGACTCTACGGACTCATCCGAAGGCAGAGCTGAGAGTGAGTGGCGAGTAGGCAGAGGAGTGGCCTGAGGCGAGGAGTACGTGAAGCCGAAGCGCTGAAGGACCTGCTGCACCATGTGTGACTGAGTCAAGGTAATGGTGCGGCGTGCTCTGTCCCGAGTGATCTGCAAGCCAAGGTAGCTGCGCAGTTCACCCAGGTCTGTGCACGTGTGTCTCTTCAACAGCTCGGACTTCACGTAGGCGAGTCCAGCAGTGTCCGCTGTGGCAAAGACCAGGTCGTCGACGTACACGAGGATGTAGAACGGCGGCAGGGAAGTGTCGGTGCGAAGAAACAGCGACGGGTCAGCAGTAGAAGGAGCAAACCCAAGAGCCGCAAGCGTAGTCCTCAGTGTGTCGTGCCACTCACGCGGTGCCTGGCGGAGACCGTAGACTGGCCGTCGGAGGCTCCACTGGGTGCCAGGAGGGAAAGTCCCAGTGAAGCCAGGTGGACGGCGAAGCCAGATCTCCTCGTGCAGGCTACCCTGCAAGAACGCAGTGCTGAAGTCGAGAGAGTGAAGCTCGTAGTCGCGCTGAGCGGCTATGTGCAGCAGCACCCGAAGAGTAGTCATCTTCGGGGTGGGAGAGAAGGTCTGAAAGTAGTCAACTCCCTGCCGCTGACTGAAGCCACGAGCAACGTACCGTGCCTTGAAGACAGGTGGAGAGCCCGGCGGCCGCTTCACCCTGAAGATCCACATGCCACTGACGATGTTCGCCCCAGGAGGGGGAACCGCGTCAACGTAGGTGCCTGTGGACTTCCAGGAAGCCATCTCTGCATCCATAGCTGCCTGCCACTGAGAGGAGTAGGGACCCTCTACGGCCTCCGCGTAAGAACGCGGAGTCGGGATGTCTAGTGCATCCGGGTCTCCCTCAGGGGCAAGCAGTACAGACGCGAGATGAGGTGAAGCAGCCGCTAGACACTGTAACTCCTCCTGCCTGTCCTCTAGGACGTCCGTGCCAAGAGCACACTCACCCCCGACGGACGGAGGACAGACAGACGCAGACTCAGCAACAAGACTAGCAGCGTAGTCGAGACGACAGCGAGCAGCAAAGTCGACGAGCTCAGCGACTAGAGCAGACGCAGCAGTGGACTCAAAAGAGGGGTCAGTGACGACAGTAGCAAGCAGACGCGTGACAGTGGGACTGGCAGCACGAAGAGAGTCCGACTCAGGGTCCGCAAGCGCAGGAAGAGAGGACTCAGGAGGAGAAGGCAAAGGGGCACGCAGAGGAGCAGTGGACGGACGCAGAGACATCCGGTGCGTGCCAGGGACAGGAGGAGGACGCTGACGCGAACTGCGACCACTAGCGCGAGCAGCACGAACAGGCGACGCGGGACGAGACGCAGGCTCACGACGCTCAGCAAGACCTCCAGTAGGACCAGTGTAAGGAGAGGGAGCAGGCAGTGGAGAGGAAGGCTCCAGTAGGGGCTGCGACTGGACAGGCGGTGGACCCTCTACTGGAGGAGAAAGACCAAGAACCTGCTGAAGGAGCGGAACGAAGTACGGCCGAGGCCGCGCGGCAGCTCCAGACTCAGCAGGGACAGCACCAGCACCCTCAGCGACAGCACCAGCGCCACCCACACCTCCAGCGGCAGGACCAACAGCAGCAGGCTCAGCACGAACGCCCTCAGCAGCTCCAGCTCCAGGAGGACCTGCAGGGCCAGCAGCTCCGGGACCGGCTGCACCCGCACCCTCGACGGTCGAAGAAGCCCCAGCTCCAGCTCCAGCAGCACCTCCAGACTCAGCAGCACGCCTCCAGCGGCGAGCGAACCACTCGCGCAGCTCCTGTGGAGAGAGGGGCTCCCGGCGAGACGCAGCAGCAGGAGAAACCCCAGGCTCAGCAGCTCCAGACGCAGCACCCCCAGGCTCAGCAGCTCCCAGCTCAGCACCCCCAGGCTCAGCAGCTCCCGACCCAGCACCCCC